CTGCTCCCTTTGTCTGAACTTACTTCATCACTACCTGAAATTGCCTTTGGCTAGTCCTGTCCCATACAAGAGACACTCCTACCTTGCCCCATCTACCACTGGTCCTGGGACTACTGGGAAGGGGAAGATACTTCTCTTTTATCCTGATGCTTAGAGCTGTGAATGTGAAGTAGCCTCAGCATATACCTAGTTCTGCTAACTATGTTATCATAATTTAACATTATGATGTTAAATGCTATAAAGCTGAAAATATTTCTGGTGTTTCACCTGGCTTACAGCCAGCAATATAATATTGCAGACTAATTCATTTACTTGGGGAACATTTTGTAAGTTAAGTCACACCAGAAGAATCAGTTACTGCTCACAACACTTTAACCAAGATATTCTATTTTACCCAGAGGTTTGTGCATAGACATTGGATAACCAATCACATCTAAGAAATCAAATCTTCACTTCCACATTCTTTGCCTAGGATTTCAAACCAAATGCTTTCTGGAATAAGAGAGGTGGGCCGTGTGTCAGAAAATAGGTGGTCCTGTGATAAAATGGGGAAGACATAGCTATCTAAAAGTAGAGCCCTCCCCACCCCCCGCTCTAGCTGATCACTGACAAAACATTTATTTATGGGCCACAGCAGATATAGAACTGTTTCTTCAAAGAGGTATAGGATTTTTCAAACACTGTTTGGGAGGTCATGCTTCTAGGCTATGATTTTGACAACTTCTAAGTTTACATAAAAGGAACTCAATCACGCCACCTGCTCCTGTGGTCCCTCAACAGCAGGGTTCTCAGCCAGTGCATCTCACAAGTCCTACTTTGGTCTCTTGTCAGAGAATGTAAGTCACAGAACAAACTGTCATATCTGAATTGTAGGTCTCCGATCCCTTCACAAAAAAACAAAAACAGAACAAAACAACAACTGCAAAGAGAAATAATATATATTGAGAATGTTCTGTCTTTCCATCCAGGCTAGTATTTTCAAAAACTCAGGAGTTTTCCAATTCTGTGTGAACATTTTTAAATCTTGTGTTTTCACTTTAATGGTTATCTTAAAGAATACCATGCTCGTGTGGACGGCAGCGTAACTGTGCGCTGCCATACAATCACCATTTCTGCACGCAGGGTCAGTTATATTAACATCTAACCCACTGTCTCCTGAACTGGGGTCTTTGAGTCCATTCTGCCATATTGAGAATTCCTCAGATTGAGAGACAATGCTCTAGGCAGCTAGAGCCTGCGGTGTCAATCCGATCGTTGGGAACGGCTTTCATGGAGCTGCATTTTAATATTTGCTTTTGTGTTTAGTTGAGAAGCACTACCATGGGAAACCTGCTTTTGCATTTGTGGAGTTAAAGCCACTGAGCGCAAGATCAGCTTCAGGACCCAGCACTTTTTTTCACTTCCATATGAGCAATCTCCTTTAGAAAGAGAGGTGCTCTGGCAGAAAGCTCTTTTTCTCGGAAAACAAGAATCATATATTTGATCTTATCTCCTTTTTCACTTCGATGGCCAGGAAGCTGGGGGCCTAATCTGATGTTTAACTCTGGCAACTACACAGACACTTATGGCTGGCATACCTGTGGGTACTCTCTGTTTGATTTTCACTTTCCACTTTTTCTTACAACTCTGTGGCTGTGATTCTCTTTTCTCATTAATATTTCACTACTATGTTATTGAATCTGTTCTCACTGTAAAGCTGCTTCAAATTCTCTGTAGATAAGTCTATATACACACATGGCAGAATCTCCACGGTGGACCTCCCTACACTGACCACCTCCCTAACTTTCACAGACTGGACATGCACCACATATACAGTACAGCAGGCCTAGTTCCTTATGGTGACCACCTCCGTAGGCTGACCAGTTTGTTACAGTCCCTTGGGTGGTCAGCTGACAGAGGTTCCTGGTACAGGTATGGGTATATGTATATACATATACGTAAAAGTATGTACACACGTATACGTATAAAAACAGACCTCTGCTTTTCTAAGTGATGATAATGAATATTTGATATGCAGTATCTTCTACTGGTGACATTATAACAATAGTAAGATTCCTCCAGGACACTGGGTGGCAAATATATTTTATTATTATTATTTTTTTAGAGACAGAGTCTCACTTTGTCGCCCTTGGTAGAGTGTTGTGGCATCATAGCTCACAACATCCTCCAGCTCTTGGGCTTAGGTGATTCTCTTGCCTCAGTGTCCTGCCACAATGCCCGTCTATTTTTTTTTTTATTGTTGTTGTTTGGCCGGGGCCGGGTTCGAACCTGCCACCCTTGGTATATGGGGCCAGGGCCCTACACACTGAGCCACAGGCACTGCTCGCAAATATATTTTTATATATATATAAATACATGTTTGCATATGTGAATATGTACATATATATGTCAAAAGCAAAATATAAGCTTTGAGACAGAATGGTCTTAAAAACATTCTGTAGGATCCTGAATCCTCATTAGTTTCCAGTTCTTTCTACCACTGAGTGACTAACACAACAACAGAGACCCCACAGCCAGACAAGAAACAAAGCAAAGATCCCCCGACAAGTCTATGGTGACAAGAAAGACGCAACTTCCAGAAATGCAGTAACTACGCTTTGCTGACTCCACGTTTTCTCTTGGCAGACGGCAAATCCTACTCTTAAAGTCAGGGCTCTGCACAAAGTGGCTGTAAACAGGGTCGGGCTCTGAAGAGTGATCCAAGGCCACCGAGGGGGAGGGGTGGGGTGCAGGGGGCAGCTATTAGCAGCCTGAGACACATCAGATTGGAGTGAGAAGGAAAATCAATGGCCCAAGAAGAGAAGCATGACACTCGAGTTTCTAGAACCAAGTGGCAAGGTGAGAAGAAAGGGACTCACCTGTGAGCACCTTGTAATCAACACAGTGAACCCCACAAAGTCATAGATGTATTCATGATCCACGTATATATGAGTTAATAAAAAAAATAAGTAACCGGGGAAAATAACAACAGCATATCTTAGAACCACCTACAGAAGTGGTATTTCCAGCAGACAAATGACTTATGACTAAAGCACAGTAAAAGATGGAGGATTCCTAGAAAGTCACCCTTCCACGGGCTGGTATTGAACAGACCCCTTCAGAGGGAACTAAGGTGACAGCATCAGATCACTCACTTAACAATGCCCAGGTGCCCTCTGTGAGGCCGATAAAGGGTAAACCCACACAAAGATGACCGTGATGGACAGTTCACATTCTAGAGCAGAGACAGGATGAGAAGAAACACTTACAGAGCAATGAGTATTAGAAGGAAGCACGTCCGAGAAGCCGGAAACCTAAGCAGTGACTATTTCTATCTCAAATGGTCCAAGCTGAGTAGTCACAGAGTATTGCCTACAATAAACTAAACTGCAGCGGTGCCAGAGAAAGGTCTGCCTGGTCATCTGCTGCTATTTAACAGGCATTACTGCTGGCCAAACGACAACGGAGGTGGGAGAAGCAATGAGAGGCAAATTAAGCACGTGGAGCTTTCCCCACAGTCTTTCCTATATGCTGTCTGTATAAAGTCTCTAAGTCAGGAAGTCCAACCGACTGTCCCCTCGCCCACGCCCCAAACTGTCTCTGAATGTGATGGAAGGAGGGCGCACAGGATCCTAAAGACTGTTTCCGTTCCAGGTGCTTCACATAATAATAGCTCATTTAACTGACTGCTATTCACTACATTTTACAGATGTAGAAACTAAGGCCCAGGAGGATCAAGAGATTTCCTCAAAGTAACACAGCTGTTAAGTGGAAGAACCAATTTTCAAGGTGAGGTTCTATCTGTCCTCTCCCTCAACCACAAAGCCATAGTGCGAAGCATTGCCTTCAAAGGCACACACAACAGGTGGCCACTGGAGTAGAAGTCTGAGGGCATAACCAAGTGGGACTCAACTTCAACATAAGCTTTCCTTATGGGGTGGGAGGGGCCTTGGCAGGAGGGCAGGAAACCTTCTGAAGGCTGAATTCTTACAGGCAGTAGTTGATATGGATAATTCTGAAGGTGTAATTTTGGTGTATATATCCAAATTCATCTCCACTTTTCCTGTGTGTGTCTAGACTAAGCTCTGTACAACTGTTGTCATCTAACTGGTTTGAGTATTCTTTTATCTTTCCTGAATGTTCTGGTGAAGAAGCATTCCCACCACTAGTAACTAAATTCAGTAAATGCCACGTCACCAAACACCAAGCTTCCCCATGAAAGGTGAAAAGGAGAGGCAGATTAGTTCTGAAGCAATCTTGTGACCGAAGAATGCTATTTCTGGGCCTCCAGGGTCAAGCCTAAAACAGGCCAAGACCAATGACCACCACCACCACAGTCAAAGGAGTTCTTTCCAAGCAGAGAAACGCTAAACTAGATGAGCAATGTTGTTCCCATCCCAAAGGGTGGCAGCTCCAACCTGGTTTTAGTCAGATCCCCTCCTGACAGCCAGGGGACAGGCTGCTGAGTCACACAGCAGGAGGAGTGTGGTCATAGCTCCAGGATCCTTTTCCTAAAATCACAGGATTTCTGAACTTCGGAAACACAGCAGAGGATGATAGCTGCGTGCAACCTGCTGTTGCATTTCCGACATTCTCTTTCTAATGGGCGGAATGATGGCTCATTCCCAGCCTGTCTTGACTGCCCTTTCAGATCCTAGGCAACCCTCTCCGAGGGCCTTTCAGCAAGTCCCTGAGTGTATTCCCTGCTTTGTAAAAGGCAGAAGCAGCTAAATTGAACCCTCCCTCCTCCTCCTCCACAATGTACACTCTCTGAGAACAAGAGAAACCCCACGTACCATTAACACATTCAAAGACATCACAGCACTTTCCAGGTGTCCCATCTCCACGAGAGACTATGCGGGGAGTGGATCCCACCTCACACACGGGGAAACCACATAAGCCAGAGAGACACTCGCATCTGAAACCAAAGAAAAGGGAAGGAAAACCCCATGAATAAACAACAACATAGAAGTCGGGAGACCACAAACGGTGGCAGTGGCTGAGGCAAAGTATCTGCTCTGTACAACCTCGGCCCGTTTATCTGTGTTGCAGGGAAATGGGGAGCGGGAGGAGTCTGGGCTTGTCTACTTTACGTGTGCCCCAATATTTAACTTTAATGATTCTGACAGAAGTATTTCTAAAACTAATTACATCATTTCTTACTCAAGCGGACTGGAATTGAGCACAGTACAAACATTTTCTGGCTGACTCAGAATGCATACATTGAGTTAGTCTGCAAATTGATGCTGCTCCCATGGTTTACGGCAGAACAACACAGAACCAGCACTCCTGGGTGGAAGTGCCCCTGGTGCTGCTTTGCGGCTACTGATGTGGAGGTGTTTCTCGGAGATTTTTTGGCTCTTGTTTCGATGATTAAGTTACCAGGTTATCAGTGTGACTGTCTCTAGTAGCAGCCTCATCTTGAGCAACACGTAATTTATAACTGTATACAATGGAAGAAATTGAAGACAGAACTCTTAATAAAGAGAGGGTACAATCTTCAGCAGATGGACTTTATGACAATTATCTGGAAGTTGAGGGTCTTAACTTTTTGGATCGTCTAACTGCATGGATGGAGTGTTCAATGAACTGCAAGCTGGCTGAGCTGTGCTCTCACCCTTAACTTCAACATTGCTACAAAACTGGCCTAAACATAGAGACCTGGGGAACAGGGGCAGGTAAAATAAGAGGAGACAAAATGTTATAAACAGGAGGCTGGAAATGAGGAACTCAGGACAGCTGTGTGTCCACAGGTACACCTAAGACAGCACATGGGAGAAGCCGCCAGGCCTGTGCCCTGGACTCCCCTGGGGAGAGCAGTAGGGGTCAGAGGGTGGAGAGGATGAAGAGGGAGTTCCCAGGTTACAGGAGTGAAAACCAAAGGCATCCTAAAAACAGACATCCGGGCAGGAATTATCTGGGTATTTATGTACAGTAAGGGCCAAAGAGAGGGGAAGTGACATTCCCAGCAGGGAAGAACCATTAATGCACTGATTCTGTTTTCCCCTCCTCTTATTTAAGTAATTGGTTTGTTCACCTATTGTTCTTTGGGTCTTTAATAAATTAAAATATGCTTATAGTCCACAAGTACCTCAAAGGCCCAGAGATCTAATTACATTTATAATTAGCTATGGAACTAGAAAGAAAACGAATTCAAGTTAAAATCTGCACCAATCCTAGCACTCTGGGAGGCCGCGGCAGGTGGACTGCCCGAGCTCACAGGTTTGAGATCAGCCTAAGCCAGAGTGAAACCTCATCTCAAAAAATAGCTGGGCATTGTGGCGGGTACCTGTAGTCCCAGCTACTTGGGAGGCTGAGACAAGGGAATTGCCTGAGCATAAGAGTTTGAGGTTGCTGTGAGTTATGACAGCACAGCATCTACCGAGAGTGACAAAGACTCTTGTCTCAAAAAAAAAAAAAAAAAAAAATTTGCTCCAAAGACTACTCAAGCCACTGGCAAGATATGAATGACCCACTTACCCCCACCCCAAGGCAGGCCCTTTCAGGGTTCTTTCACATGAGGTGACAATCAGATTTCTCAGAGGAGAGAGTGTTGGACAAGTAAAGTTTTGCTGCAATAGTATTTCTGCCTATGGTTTAAAATGGAAGTTTGCCTGTTTTGTGTGAGCAGAGCTGGATGCTCTCAATTCAAAGTCTATATTCCTGCAGGGCGGAGTACCTGTGAGCCGGCCTTTTAGTGCCTGGTAAGATCAGCCCATTCTCTCTCATGCTTGTGTGCCCAGCTACTGCAGTTGTAAGCACACGTCATATTGCTGTGCGATTATACTGTTTACGTTTATGGCACAAGGTACTCTTTCTAACTTATAGACTCCTAAGAGTTTATAGATGAATGGGGCTAGAGTACTGAGAGGCCACACCCTGATTCCAACATCCAGATGTGGTTACAGAAAACACATCCCATGAGGACGGCAGATCGACCCCTTCTTACGCATCTTCTACAATTCACATTCTTGCCTACGTGTTCCAGGCAATCGTCCTAAACACCAAGGAGTATATGATCAACCAAAAAATACCTGCCTGGGTGTCGTCCGTCAACACTTCAGTGACCTTCACTAAACATGTGTGAACTAATTCAGACTGAGTCTGCCCTAAGCCTGCTTTCCCTTTTACTCTCAACTACTTTCCCAATATTTAAGTATCTCTATGATTTTCCCACAGACAATTGCAGGTCGGCTCCAGCATATTGCAGAAGATCTAAAACTGCACACAAGTGCCTATTAATCCACCTAGGAAAGGAGAACGCTCCACATACAAATTCGGCTTCTAAACTTGCCATGACTGCGTAAGAAGGAGCTGAGGATTCAGAGCCCCGGTCCTGGGGAGTTGGGCACTCCTGGCCCCTGCCCCCCATCTGCTTCTCCCCTGCAAGCCCTCTCTGTCAGCTGCCATCTTTTCACTTCTCACAGCTTCCCCTGAACCTGAAATTAGCCTCTTAATGAAGAAGCAGCTTATGAAAGAACCACAAAAGGTGAAAATCTAGGCTCTGGTCAGATATCTATCTGGTAGCTTTCTATTAATTTAAAAACTCATGAAACCACCATTTTTGCAAGTTAGAGAGACAAACAGCCCTTCCTGACAGTTCAACATAATACAAGTCACATGAGTTACCTTCTGATAGGTATGTCTGCTTTCACTCTGGCAGGTAACAAAAGGGGCCCCATGATGATCCGTATTTGCCCAGTAAATGTGTTCTAGCTACAGACTACATGAGCCCCAGGTAGTTTAACAGCAGCAAGACTATTCTGGGGTCTCTGGTATGTGTCCACTGCAGGTAGGTATTCTTTCCTTTTACAGAGGGGAACAGGGAAAGCATACAGTTGAATCAAATGACCAGAAATTAAATAGAGCTTCCTGTTCTCCGTGTTTTCCACTAGGAGAGACTGGATTCCCTTCCATTGAGTCATGAAGAGGAAACGCTCAGCGGCAGAACTGAAGTAAACGGCACCTTCCTTCTCCTCGTTTCCATTCTCCACACCCCCATCATCTCCTTACCCTTTACCTCAATCCCTGGAGAAGGAGCAAGCACAGGAAAGGCGAGCAGACGGACGGGGGCAGACGAACCAACACAGGAAACGCCTCATGAAGCTGGCGTCACCACCTACCCCTCACCTCTGCAGCCTCCTCCCCAGTCTCCAGGTCTAGTCTGGTGCCACCCAAGTCTCTCCCTCTCCCAAGCCACCCCCCACCCATCCTAAGGCTCGGCTCCTAGACTTTCATGGTCAAAAATCTTCAATTACTCCTCACTTCCTATGTGACCTTCTCAGCCTTGCATGCCCCACTCTGGAGTCCACATCTCCAATTACCAATTCCGTCTTCCGGTGGTCCCCTTCATTTTTCTATGCTACTGTCATTCTCTTATTCTCCAATAAGCCCTCCCTTCCCCATGTCTGCACCACCCGCCCTGCCACTCCTGCATGTCCCTGGGCCTGCCTGTCCTTCTAGGCCAATCTCACATTAACGGTTCCTTCTCTGAGCCCCCAAACACCGCTCTTTTCTTAACAGCTCTCCTCTCACTGTGTTTGGTAGTGGACCTGAGTACTTCTCTTCCCATAAGCTCTTTTTGTATCTACCACATACAGTCATCGTGTAAATATTTCTTAAATGAAACAGTGCTGGAGATGAAGAGGGGTGGGACATTAAAGAAACAAAACAAAAATGCCAACGAAAGTGACAAGCACAGCACTGAGACTTCTATGTTGTGAGCTCAGCAAGTCCACCCAGGCACGGCAATTTACATGACACCTTGAGCAGAAGTTCTCAGGGCTTGAAAAAAGAACAGCTTTACTGAGATATAATTCACGTATCCTAACACGCACCCTTTTAAAGTACAGTGTGCATTATAATTCAATGATTTTACATTCACAAGGTTGTACAACCATCACTAATGCCTAGTTTCAGAATATTTTCATTACCTTGAAAAGAAGCACTGTGCCTACTCACAGTCACTCCCTTCCCCTCTCTGATGCCCCAACAACCTTTAATTTATGTTCTTTCTCTATAGACTTGCCTATTCGGGACAGTTCACATACATGGCATTATACAGTAGGTGGGCCAAGGGCTTTTTAACTTCAAACAAGAAGCAACCTGCATTTGCAAGTTACCAGAAAAAAAAATCAAGCCTCTACTGTTATCCTCAGTATTAAGATAATAATCAATCAAGACACTGTATTAATACATTTTTGCATAATGTAATCACAGCTGCAGCCAGGTGGGACTTGGTTAAGCTGTCTTTTTTTCCTTAAGCAGGTAACGGATTCATCTGGGGCATCAGAGTGCCTGAGCACGATGACAACGGTACTCAAAAACCATCTAAACCCCTAAAGGGCACTCACCTCCTTAGAAGGCCCAGGCTGCTGGCTCCCTGCACTGAAAGGCAGGGGTACACACTAACTCCCTCCCTTCCTGTCCTACACAGACAATCCCAGGCAGGCCAAAGGGTCAGTGTCCTAGCTCCTGGGCATAACTTACAAGATGCTCCCCAGTCTGGTCTCTACCTGTCTTTTAGTTTTCACGTTCTACCGCTTCCTCCATACAACCTATACTCTACAGGGACAACTGTGGCCTGCCATTCACTGCATTCCCCTGCCCCCACCCCTCACTATTCCTGCCACCCAGCCTCAGGGCCCTGCCTCTCCTTTGCCTGGGTGGATTCCCCATAGTCCTTAAGACCACCCACTCTACAAGGCCTTCCATGGTCCCCCCCACCAAAAAAAAATCCAGAATTAATTCTCCCTTCTCTGATGATATCTAATTTGTACAGTAAACTTGCTCATAAATAAAAATCGTACTGATTCTCTTGTGGAATCCTGTGTGTGTGGGGGGAATGTCTTGTCTTATAAGTGATAATAATAATAAAGAATGATAAAGGAATCCAAATAATAATCCAGAATAAACATT